CTGGAGAGGCCATGAGAATGCCCACAGCAGCCAACAAAGCCCTTCGCTGAAAGGGATGTGGTGGCACATCACAGGATGGGGCCACCTCTGCATCTGCGGGCAGAGTGGATAGAAGAAATCAGTCAACTGCTTGTTGAAATGTATGGAGTGTTAATTTGCATAAGCAGTTCTAATTTAGAAATTAGGCTAAGAAATTCCGTTCCAAGCCTGCAGTTTAACTCCAGGAACACACTTTCTGCCAGAACTTACTATGAAGAGGTTTAGGTTTGTAGGAACAAATGGCTTTCTTCTCTCTTTCCCTTCCTTCCTCCTTCCATTCTTCCCTTCCTCCATTCCTTTTCCCTTCCCTTTCTTCCTTCCTCCTTCCCTCCCTCCCTCCCTTCCTTCCTTCCTCCCTTCCTCTCTCTAGTGTGATGGATATTTTCTTGGAAATGTGTGTTAAATAAGTTGGGGTAGATCAAATAAATGAGCCCCGCAATAAATCATGACAAATAAAAATAGTGGAGATTGTCTTCCATATATACCTAACCTCTGTAAGTGTAATTAATATATAATTAATATATTTACACATAATAGTGTATGTTAAAATGTAGAGAGAAAACTAGAGGGAAACGTGAAGTTCCACGACTTACCTGCAGGGGGAGCACCGCCGCTTGGTGGAGCAATGCCTGCAGCAGAGATGAACCCAGGGGAGCTGCTAGAAAAGGCCTGGCGCTGGGGCAGTAGGGGTGCTGGGGCAGGAGGGGTGCTGGGGCAGGAGGGGCGCTGGAACAGGAGGGGGGGGGAGTAAAAGCGAGGGAAGGACCACAAAGGCAAATGCAAAGTAAAAGAAGCAGGAACGGGGTCGAGGCATCTGAGACGAACGCCCAGCGCATCAAAAATGTGGAGACTCCCCAGCACAGCCGGAAGTGTGGCTTTCAGGAGCTGCTGTGTTACTTTTGCTATGGGGAAAAAGAGTGTTAAGTGTGTAGTGCAACTGCTTCCTCTTCTATCGGAAGAGCAAATCCAGAGAGAAGCTCTGTACCTTAAGGCTGTATTCCAAATCCGTAACTGCCTGCAAGAACGGCCAGACATGATGCAAAAAGCTAACCATTTCTGCAAACCTCGAATTCGTGGAGCTTTCAGGGGCAGTTCCTTCACCTCTTACCCTGTTCCACTTTGGCCACTTTCCACTAAAAGACAACGGAGAGGACGATGCACTGCTTGTACCTTTATCTAGGGAAGAGTGAATGAACTCTATTACATGCCTGAAAAAAATATTTTCCCAAATCGGATGCTAAGAAATCTGTTGTGAACAGTGCTGACAGTAAGGAGATCAGCACGCCTTGTCCTGCACATCCGCACCTGGACTAGCTCCTCGCACTCGGCACCTGAACACTGTGGGCGGGACCAGCACGCCTCGCCCTGCACATCCGCGCCTGATGCAGCACCTTTCCGTGCATCACCCGGGGCATTTTTTGAAATATTGGTAACATTTCTCCCATGACAGGAATGTGCAGGGAGAAAATGAAACAGGTGATGATGACCTGGCCTACCCTGGGAACGGAGACAAGTGGCTTTCTCTAACCTGGGCCTTGAGACAGGGGAAAAAGATGAGGAGTCTCCCAAGTTGGGTTAGATGGGGACGATGGACGGAAGGGCAAAGCGGTAGAGGAAGGTGGCGCATCCCAGGCCCCAGCGACTGTGTGCAAGGACCTGTCGCAGCACATGGCGTCTTCAGGACACCAAGGTGCAATGCGGTGTGGCTGGAGAATATTGTTCTATCAAAATTTAAAACTTAAGTCAGATAAAAAGGATCAAAAGACACATACGACATGGACTGAGAAGGATGGGGGAACAATGTTCAATGCTTTAAGTGAAAAGGGAACTTATTCATTAAAAATCTTCCTTTCAGAAAGCTACTAGTGCTTTAGAAAGCACAAAGGATTTCAAACAAACTATGATTAAGATACATATCCAATAGTCTGGCAACTTACAAAACATGCCAAAACTGGTTTTTAAAGAAAATACAGGGCTGGGTGTGGTGGCTCATGCCTGTAATCCCAGCACTTTGGGAGGCTAGGGGTGGGGAGGTGGCGGATCACCTTAGGTCGGGAGTTCAAGACCAGCCTGTCCAACATGGTGAAATCCCGTGTCTACTAAAACTACAAAAAATTAACCGGTCTTGGTGAAACACACCTGTGATCCCAGCTACTTGGGAGGCTGAGGCAGGAGAATCGCTTGAACCCGAGAGGCAGTTGCAGTGAGCTGAGATGGTACCACTGCACTCCAGCCTGAGCAACAGAGTGACTCAGTCTCAAAAAGAAAGAAAAAAATACAAGTGTCTGAAAATTAAACATTTATGGAAAAAAGTTTCATCATCAAATCTGATGATTCTATAAACTACCAAAAGCAAACCTCCAGCGAAAACCACAGAATGACTGACCTCCTGCATGCCACCGTCCATGCTCCTCCACGCTCCTGCCTCAACCCGGCCCACTAAGCTCAGGTCCTCTCCTGTTCCCTGGTTCTTGGGAAGCAGGTCTGGTGTGCAGAGGGCAAACCTTGCCCAGTGCAGCTGTTACACTAGCAGGCAGAGACGTGGCCAAGCACAGCGTGTGCTAGAAGCAGGGTAGGAGTTAGGAACTCGCCCCTCCTCCCTGGGCTGTAGAGCACACGTTGCCACAGGCAGGGCCACAATGCAAAGTCCGATGACACATGCGGGGGGCAGCTCGACCTTACCTTGTTTGGGGGTTCCTTTTCTAAGGGCAGCAAGATTCATTTTTGAAAACATGTATCAGGGCATACATTTCACATTCAAAAACACTGTCCCTCCTACCTCAGAGGCCTTGCTGTTTCCTTCTGTCTGCCGCTCTTATTTACCCAGTGCACACCCAGGTTTCCTTGAACCTGAGGACACTTTTCCAATCTGACTTCCTCGGGGAAACTCTGTCAGCCTGGAGGTCCTCTGGACAAGTCTCTTGGCTGATCTTGTCATCTTGCTAAATCTTGTCATCTCTCTGTTAAACATAGAGATTTCTTTGACATTGCCTTTGAGGTTACTGATTTTGAGTCATCCCATTATTTAGCCCTGCTACTGAATTATCTTACGCCAACAATTTTTAAGTCAAAGATCGTTTTAATTATAACCTGTTTCATACAGCCTCTTTTAGGTTCAAATATTACCTCAAATCTCGGAGTGGCATAATCAGGTTTGTCTTAATCCATTCAGGTTCTTAAAGTACCTTGGACTGGATAATTTATAAAGAATGGAAGTGTAGTGCTCATAGCTCAGATGGCTGGAAGTCCAAGATCAAGGCACCGGCCGGTTCAGCATCTAGGAGGGCCTGTTTCCTCATCGGCAACACCTCCTCACTGTGTACGCACACGCTGGAAGGGGCAAAGCAGCTCTCCAGGGCCTCCTATAAGGGCACTAGTGACCTCATCAACTTTCAGAGGCCCCACCTAATTCCATCCTATGTGGGATTAGGTTTCGACATACACATTTGGGGGACACACTCAGTCCTTCACAGGTTTTTGTTCTTGAATTATCGTGTTTCCTAATTACATTTTCTTCAAGATCAGTTATTTGTTCGTCTGTCTTTCGTGACATGCTATTCACTTTCCTTAAATGTCAGATATCCTTGTTGAACGTGTGGAACTCCGAACGCAGCATTAGGACAACTCACAAAGGTAGCTGCCCTGGATTTCCTCCCCAAACATATCCCTTCCTAGAGCAGGGAGACTAGGCTGGGCGCCGTGGCTCACACCTGTATTCCCAGCACTTTGGGAGGCTGAGGCGGGTGGATCACCTAAGGTCAGGAGTTTGAGACCAGCCTGGCCAACAAGACGAAATCCTGTCTCTACAAAAAAAATTAAAAAATTAGCTGGGCATGGTGGCAGGCACCTGTAATCCCAGCTATTCAGGAGGCTGAGGCAGGAGAATCACTTGAACCCAGGAGACAGAGGTTGCAGTGAGCCAAGATCGTGCCATGGCACTCCAGCCTGGGCAACAAGAACGAAACTCCACCTCAAAAAAAAAAAAAAAGAAAAGAAAAAAGAACAGGGACACTGGGGGCATGGACTGCTTAGAGGGCAGGGGTGAGATTAGCACGCATGGACAGAGAACTGATGGGGAATCCCTCCCCACCCTATGCCACAGGAGGGCTCCAACTTGGGCTGGGTGCATTTTTCTCCAGGAAGAGCTGCCTCTCCTCTCCTGCCCCTTTCCCATGTCCTTCATGAACCACCACCACAGCAGAGCCGCACAGAGGGTACCCCCTTCAGAGGCCCTGCTCCACTGAGCCTGGTGGGTGGGGCAAATTCACAGGACAGCCTTCTCCTGAACCAGATCCCCTTGCTGCAGACCTGAACCTAAGGGTCTCTCCAGGTTTAGGGTAAGGACAGCTTTCCCCCCAGATTTTGTAGATTCTCCCAGCTGCCTAGCCAGAAACCACATTTTCCAGGCCCCATGTCAGTGCTCAAGCCTGTTTACAGCCCCAAAGATACCAAGCTCATACTAGGGGACAAATGTTGTGCCAGGTACACAGCGGTTTAAAAGAAAATCCCTGTTCTCATGAGCTCATAGTTAATAATAATAATAATAAACACATAATAAGCAAGACCATTTCACAGCATGCTGAGATGAATAAAATAAAAGGGGTAAATGCAAGTGGTGGGGCAGGGACAGGGAGGAGAATGGACATCTCCCTTAGGTCTGGAAGCTTCTTTGAACATGAGACCAAAACAAACCAGCTTCATGCAGTTCTAGGGGAAGGACATTCCAGACAAGGAGGGGCAAATATCACATCTTGAGGCAGGAAGGGCTTTGGCAAGCTCAGGTGCAGAGGCTGTGTGGCAGTGGGCTGGCCCAGCTCTGGCGCATGGGCAGGAGGGGAAGAGAGGAGGGGAGGAAGAGCTGTGGGCAAGCATGAGGCAGGGACTAATGGTGGCATCTACACAACTGCTCACAGGTTGTTATCCAACATAAAGTATAAAAGCACAACTGAATATCAACAAAGAGAGAATAAATGCTTTTTATTCATTTGTAGTTATCAATAAAAGACCTAGCATTTAAAAAACTCCACTGTAAAACAAAGGTTACCATAAAAATGTATTTCATGGGTTAATATTTCAATATTTATTTTTTAACAGAAAACACTCATCACATGCAAAACCTGTCACTTCACATCTTCAAGTTGAATAAGTTGACAATACCTAATCAAAAAGTACATGTGAAAAGAAAGCTTTTTATAGTTGAACTTGAAGTCATTCAAAATTATTCAATAAAATACATGTAGTGCTGGCCCGGCATGGTGGCTCATGCCTGTAATCCCAGCACTTTGGGAGGCCAAGGCGGGAGGATCACGAGGTCAGGAGTTTGAGACCAGCCTGACCGACATGGTGAAACCCCATCTCTACTAAAAATACAAAAATTAGCCGGGCGTGGTGGTATGCGCCTGTAATCCCAGTTACTCAGGAGGCTGAGGCAGGAGAATCGCTTGAACCCAGGAGGCAGAGGTTGCAGTGAGCCGAGATCACACCACTGCACTTTAGGCTGAGTGACAGAGTGAGACTCCGTACCCCTGCCCCCCGCAAAAAAAAGATGTATGTAGTGCTGACAAAAAAGTTTCATATTTGGCATTTTTCTCTTACCCTCCCAAATATTATCAAAAGGTCTGATTCTCTGGGTAACAGAAAAGTGACAAATTTCAGTTGCTACTGTTCGACAGTTTCATAAATTTAAAAAGCCACATCCTGCTATGCTTTCAAATCATTTCACTGAAACCTAGTTCCTATCAAATATTAAAAATAAATCATACATGTGATCCAAATTCCAGAGGCCCAGAACTATAGTGCTTTTAGAAAGTGACTGTTTACACAGATGACTTACAAGGAAATGCATTTTATAACAACCACACTGGGGGACTGCAACAAGATTACATCTGCACATGGTGCTGTTTACTAAGACATGAAGAGCTGAAGGAGACTGAGATAGCAGCTCACAGACAGAGGGCAGAAATACACAGGGCTTCCAGGCTGTACCGGCCCAGTTTATGTCCTACTTCCTCTTGATGTTTACAGCTCAGTTTCACTTAAAATTTAAAAAGCCAGATTCTGTTACACAGCCTTAATCCTTACATTTTCATTTCCTCTACATGTTAGAGCCCAAGGAGTAATTTCTATAATATTTGGCTAATATGAAATGAGAAACTGGCATTGCACAAGTCATGCAGTCTGCTCACTTACCAAGACCAGTGAATTAGGTCTAATTTCTCCTTTTACTAATAAAGGTAACTTGTAGTAAAAAGTCGCAACTTAATTGAAATTATAAAGTGCAAAAACAGCATAATCCTAGCTTTACTTATATATAAATATGCATGCATCACTTTCTACTGTTTTTTCTACTTGCACATTTTAAAATATTTTGGTATTATAAACGTCCGTGCCCTACATAAGAGCAACAATGCTTTAACCGTATAAATGAGACTGCGGAAATTCTATTATTGGCTCTATTTTTAAGGATTACAATGAAATTATGTACAGTATATAAAGCTTGTCAAACTGAACATGGTCTTAGGCCATTACTACTATTTCATTCCAATTTGGATTTTAATACAATTAACTTACAGATCTGAAATAAAAGCACTGCTTAATGGTTTCAGATGCATGTTGGTACTGAATATGTTTCAAGGAATCTTTACAAATAATAAATTATAATGAAGAGAACCTACGACTAAAGCTGCTTACATGGACAACAGGAGGAATGACGATTGCAAATGTTACCTGTTATTGACAATTCTATGAATTCAAACTCATAACCACTTCTAGATTTCTTTAAAACAAGCAAAACTAAATAGCACAGACAAGAGTACTTTAATATAACCTTAATGGTCTAACAAACCTTCCAAATGGAAGGAAATACAAAATAAAGTTGACACATCAAATTTAACTTATACTAATATACTTCAGTATTACAAATTTACCAAGTCATTTTGCCAACTATGTGTAGAACCACCTAATATCAAAATATACTATGGTGGGTAAGCTCTGATTCCAGAGGGCTAAAGTCAAGGTTTTCAAAGACCACACGTACCAGCAGCCACACACACAAAGGGTTGTGCGATCCTACGGCTTTATTGACACCTTTCATCATGCTCTTAACACTGATGTTTTCATGGGTTCCTTCCCTGTAATGAAACTGTGTAGATAATCAATTTCCATAAAGAAATGTACAGTTAAATTAAGAATATTAAATCTTTCACACATGGGCTCAAATAGGAAGCATTTTGTTTAGTAAAATGAAAATTACTTTTAAAAAATATCTGCAATGTTTTTGAAATGCAAGGCACCAATAGAGAGCAGACATTCCAGCTGAGTGATTGTCTGGGGAAAAAAAAAAAAAGGAACCGGTGAGTCCTCTGTCCTTGTTAATGAGAACACTTCCTTCTTCGTGACTATGCAACATCTTCCAGGTAATCTGCAACATCACTGAGCTGGGATACAGTCAGGTCTTGTGTGAGGTCATCAAGCTTCGTTGTTCAAAAGAAAGAAAAGAATTAACTGTCAGAATGTGAGTAGTCTTAAGTTATTTTAAAAAATCTAAACCACAGTGAGATAGCACCTTACTCCTGCAAGAATGGCCATAATCAAAAAATCAAAAAATAATATAAATGTTGGTGAGGATGTGGTGAAAAGGGAACACTTTTACACTGTTGGTGGGAATGTAAACTAGTACAACCACTATGGAAAACAGTGTGCAGATTCCTTAAAGAACTAAAAGTAGAACTACCGTTTGATCCACCATTCCCACTACTGGGTATCTACCCAGAAGAAAATAAGTCATTATATGAAAAAGATACTTGTACACGCATGTTTACAGCAGCACAATTCGCGACTGCAAAAACACGAAACCAGCCCAAATGCCCATTGATCAACAAGTGGAGATAAAGACATTGTGGTATGTACACACGATAGAATACTACTCAGCCATAAAAAGGAACAAATAGGCCAGGTGCAGTAGATCACGCCTGCAATCCCAACACTTTGGGAAGCCGAGGCAGGCAGATCACCTGAGGTCAGGAGTTCAAGACCAGCCTGGGCAACATGGTGAAACCCTGTATCTACAAAAACACAAAAATTAGCCGGACGATATAGCGTGTGCCTGTAGTCCCAGCTAGTTGGGAGGCTGAGGCAGGAGAATCGCTTCAACATGGGAGAATCTCTTGAACCCGGGAGGCAGAGGTTGGAGTGAGCTGAAATTATGCCATTGCACTCCAGCTTGGGTGACAGAGCGAGACTCTGACTCAAAAAAAAAAAAAAAAAAGTAACAAAATAATGGAATTTGCAGCAACCTGGATGGAATTGGAGACCATTATTCTAAGTGAAGTAACTCAGGAATGGAAAACCAAACATCACATTTTCTCATGTATAAGCAGGAGCTCAGTTATGAGGATGTAATGGCATAATAATGATACAATGGACTTTGGGGACTCCAGGGAAAGAGTGGGAGGAGGGTTAGGGATAAAAGGCTCAAACTGGGCCCAATGTATACTGCTAGGGTGATGGGTGCACCCAAATCTCACGAATCACCATTAAAGAACTTATTCATGCAACCAAACACCACCTGTTCCCCCAAAACCTATGGAAATAAGAAATAAAAAACTAAAAATTAAAAAAACTGTTGTTGTAATTAAAGTATTACTTTATACTTCATAAACCAACTCATATTTAAACCTGTGTTGAGAAGTGATTTGCCTAAAATCATGTCTAATAAGTTAGCACAATCGTTTGAGTTCAATGTTTTATAATTACTCTCAAATATTTCAAGTGAAAATTTAAAATAAAACACATCTTAGACATTATTCCAATTTAATCTAAGAAACAAATTAGTGAAAAATTGTATTAAACTTCTTTACCTGAGCATAGTCCCAATGTACGATTCTGTTCACAGTATCACTCTATGAATTGCTAACTCTAAAACCAAAATTTACCCACATTAAATTTCACAAAAAGTTACTAAAATGTATACTTTGGAAACTATCCCTTCTTACGTGTTCATATGATGGTATAGAACATTAAGTTTCTAACATCAAGCTCGATATGGTGTGACACACTTTAACACTGTGCCACCTGAAGCCAGATCACGAGTCCTTTTGGAGGCTGAAGTGAAAACAGAAAGGCAGACAGGACGGCCCATGGACTCTCAGACTCCTAGCCCCGGGTTCACAAAGTGTTGTAAGAAATGACTGATTTTTATTTCTGTTTAAACTACTTGTAAACTAGAAAGTTAACCTATTAGCCAACTTACACCTATTCATTTGTATAAACAACTTATGATGATGGAGAAAGGAAATATTAATAGCTATTTAAGCATAATGCAGGCTGAGAAAACATTATTTTTTAAGTAAGGAAAAAACCTTACTTAAGTAAGGGTGAGGATACAGGCTCCAAAATATTGAACATACAGCTAGGCAGGTCTCACTGACAGCTGAGTAAGGACAGAACTCAACCTTTCCAGTCCCACCTAGACTCATCATTGTGGTGACAGATCAGGGGACAGCCACAGCCACACCCACACACACACTCTTAGGCATCATCTATGGCTGTCTTCTCCATACAATGGCAGGGTGGAGTAGTTATGGCCTGCAAGGCCTAAAATATTCACTATGTGGCCTTTTAGAGAACAAGTGTGCCAACACCTGGGCCAGATAATAACACACAAGAATAGGAACATCTTGCAGAGATGCAACAGTTCCATCCTGATATACTGTGAGATGCTTTTGTCTGTTAATCTGCCCCCCACATATCCTCTCATTTTGTTATTCTTCAGATATTCAGAAATTTAAGTTATAAGTAAAACCCTTTTCAACAGGTAAGTCCTTGCCCTTCCTCTTGGTCCAAATATAGTCTTGCTGTAAAACTATCTCACAAAGAAAATTACTAGGAATCTTAATTACATTTCTTATGCATTCAATTCAAATTCAGTTTACACAAAAACTGAAGAGTCAGAAAAGCTTGCAGAGAGATTATAAAACAGACTCTGATACCTTCGAACTGTATTTTCTCCTCCCATCATTGTTACAGAGTGAAATTGGTAAGGTTTTCCATTTCGTTTACAAAGTAATTGAGTGTTGTATTAACACGAATGTTAAGCTACAGACAAGAGTGAATACAGGAAAAATCGTGGATTGAAAAGGATCTTAATCTAGATAATTCAGTTACTGGAGGTCATTAATTTAGTTTTGCTTTAAGGCAAAGAAAAGAACACAGTAACAACCAGAAACTTCCAAGAAGAACAGCTTCATTTAAAGTAGTTACCAAGAAAGAAAACTGAATGAACAAAAGCTAACTAGAAATAAATGGCTATTTAATAAAGCCTTTCCGCCAGGTACGGTGACTCACGCCTGTAATCTCAGCACTTTGAGAGGCCAAGGCGGGGGGATCACGTGAGGCCAGGAGTTTGAGACCAGCCTGGCTAACATGGGTGAAACCCCATCTCTACTAAAAATACAAAAACTAGCCAGGCGTGGTGGTGCCTGCCTGTAGTCCTAGCTACCCAGAAGGCTAAGGCAGAATTGCTTGATCAGGAGGCGGAGGCTGCAGTGAGCCAAGATCCAGCCACTGCACTCCAGCCTGGGCAACAGAGTGAGACTCTTGTCTCAAAAAAAAAACAAAAAACAAACTAATAAAGGCGGCTTTCATGCCTCATTAGTTTTAGAATAAGAACTCAAAGTGGGCAACTTAGTTCAAAACTATAAAAATAGATTTTATATCACAAAATAAAAATATCTAAAAGGTACATTTCGAGTCTTGAAAGGGAAATAAAGGATCCCTGTGATAGCAAGTTTCATACAAATCGACAGGAATTTTTTGTAAGATTTTGAAAAGTTTTATGAAGTGTAAATGTTCACGTTTGCTGAATTAGATTGCTGTGCATTAACAGAAACCTGGGATGCACACTTATGTTCTGTCCCTTACAAACATGTGACACTCTTACTCCAACGTCTACCTATGTCTTTGCTCGTGCTGGCTCCCGTGCAGGGACTACCCTCCCCAGGGCCTCTGTTGCTAGTTCATCCTCTGTCATTTCTGGTTCAAAGTCACCTTCTAACAACCCTGCTCCTCCCAACATTCTGTCTCTTCACACAGCGCCCTCCAGTGAAGCTCTGCAGTCAGGGCGGCACAGACATGTCCCTGGATCTCCCTTCTGTTCTCATGGTGCTTACCATGTTCCTCCTCAGCCCTCACAGAACCAAGTCAGTCATCTTTCAAAATCCCGATCAAATATTAGTTCCTGTTTCTGAATTTTCACAGCCCATGAATGACTGGCATTTTATGGCACTTGTCACTATAAAAAGTAATTACTACAAAAAGTGTCACTATAAAACTTGATTTTCCTATGTCTGTACACATGGCTTTTCTCTCTCTGATCCTGCATAAATTTGAGGGGAGAAGTCTGTATCTGTACCTATGACAGAAATGTCTATTGTGACTATAATCAATAATAGTATTAGATACCATTTACTGAATGCCTATTCTGCTAAGCACTGAGCTATATGCTTTACACGCTTATCTCTAATTTTCACAACCACCATCTCTCTTGCAAAATAGATGTGAGACCCAAGGGACCAAAAGTTAAACAACTTGACCAAATTTGTGAGTGGTAAGTAGCAGCTCCAGGACTCAAATCCAGATGTGATGAACTTACAGAACTGGCCCATTCCACTGAGCTATCTCCTTCCTCACACCCCCACATCCCCAGCCCTGTGCTTTCTAAATAGTAGGTGCTTAATGGACAGTGGTTTTGGTCACCTTGGCTGAAAGGTGACCAAATTGTCTGCCGTATTCTGACTGCAAAGAACACAAATGCTTTTGTGTTCCCCAGGTGCTCGGTATCAATTCTCTGCACAGAAGGCTTTAGAAAATGCTTCCTAATGAAGTACACTGACTGTCAAAGGCCATTCTATGTAAAAGGCTGCTAATAAATGGCAAAATTATCTAAATTTAAGCTTTTAAGTGAAAATTTCTAGGAACATTGGTGTGCCAAACCCAGTTAGTAGGACCCAGTGAGAAGCAGCCTAACAAAGCCCAGACTCCTGGACGCCATGCAAGGCCTTCAATGGCAAAGGGATGCCACGCCTCCTCTTCAACCCACATCATTTCACAAATCCTAGTTTAACAGTAATTTATTCGAGTCCTCTACCTCACATTTAAAGAATTCTTCTATAGTTTCTTTGGTATAAACTTTAAAGCAACATTTTTCAGGCCTCTTCAGGATGATGCAGGGTGAAAAGAGAAAGCTAAATTTATAACTATAAGGGTATAATACATCAGGAATTAGAGAAGTGCTTTACATATTATCATTTAACCTTCAAAATAATCCTATCACATAGGTATTAATACTTTCACCTTACAAGTAAAGAAACTGAGGGTCAAAGGTTAAAGCTTAACTAAGAAAATATATGAAAGAATAAGAAAGCAAACATAGATGTTGCTAACTTAGATTGTGTGGTTGCATTGTAAACGCTACCTCTCTCAAAGGCCTTCTCCCTGTGTGACGATCACACGCTTAGAGAATCCCACCTCGTTCTGGAAAGCAAGTCCCCTCCCAGCCATGGCAACCTCTGACCTGACTGGTAAACTCATCTGAGCTGGGGATAGCTTGATGTGGGTGCTGACAGGTGACTCTGCAATGCTACAGCTCACCATCGAAGGATCTTCTGTTCTCTGCCTACATAAAAAGGTCAAGTTTGGATCTCAAATATGGACTCTTATAACTTTATGGCCTACTGTCTTGTCTCCTGTGGTTTTTAGCCCAGCGTGGCTTGCATGTTCAGATGTCGCAACTGGCCAAGATGACCACACTCTCTGCACTCCAGGCTCAGCTTCACCCTGTGATCACAGTACCCTATACTGACTTCCATCTACGATACCAGGTGGTCAGTTCTCACCAGGCCTGACCCAGCCTGATCCCTCTCAATCCACAGCAATTCCAGTGCCCCAGGAATAATCCTCAGGTATTTCAGCAGCGAGACTTGGGTACCAAAGGAAGTGACAACCAAAACCAATCTTACACATTCATCAAAGACATTCTTTATAAACTTGAGCCAGGACTGTGTCATGACTTTTCATAATTTTCAACTGTTTTTCTACTAATTAGTATGAATTTTTGAAGCTTTACAGTAAATCAACAAATAGGTTAAAAAAAAAAGCGCTCTATGGGATATGCAGAACACCACACCTTATCACTGGTATTGATGTCATCTATTTCCACAGAAAGGTCTTCTTCAATCTCTTCACCAATACTTATCTCACTTTTCTCTGAGCGATGGCTGGTACTAATTTCAGGAGGGGAAAAAAAAAATAAGAACTCTGAAAATAAACATTTAAAGAGATTAACTACCATTCTTTAAACATTCAGATATTTCTTTTCATCCTTTAAGTAAAATATAACATTAACTATAATTAATTTCATACATATTGTCTTGCTTGACTCTTAAAATAATGTGGCAAGGGCAGTAGCAGTCAAGTCAATGTAACAGATGAGGAGATGAAGGTTCAAAGCAGTGACTTTGGTCACAACAGCAAGAAACCAACCAACCCAGATTTTTACAATTTCATCTACTACATCATGCTCTTTCTCAAAAACTGTATAATAAATTATAAAAAATACAGACTTCCAATTGGAAAGATAATCTGTCAACTAAATAAAATTCTCAGGCATCTAATTTAAAATTTCGAATCATATCCACAACAAATATTACTTCTACATTACATATTATATTTCTGTGTATAAGAAAGGAATCAACGGGCATGGTGGCTCTTGTCTGTAATCCCAGCACTTTGGGAGACCCAGGTGGGTGGATCACTTGAGGTCAGGAGTTCAAGACCAGCCTGGCCAAGATGGCAAAACCCTGTCTCTACTAAAAATACAAAAATTAGCCAGGCGTAGTGGCACGCACCTATAATCCCAGCTACATGGGAAGCTGAGGCAGGAGAATGGCTTGAACTCGGGAGAAGGAGGTTGCAGTGAGCCCAGATTACGCCACTGCACTCCAACCTGGGCAACAGAGTGAGACTCTGTCTCAAAATAAAAAGAATGGCAATCTTACTAGGGCAGACCACATATTAAGAAATGTGATCTGAATCAAAAACCTAATTTGAGAGCGTCATTATTTCAAGTCAAATGGAGACAATTCCTGCCACAAAAAGGTATGGAAGGAAGAGAAATTCAACACTTACAACATGGCAACTGTACTGCTTCTAAATGACTTCTCAGTTAATTCTTCAATGTTTCTCTTCATCTCATTCTTACTACCAAGTTTCCTGAACATAATGTGTCTACATTCTAATGTAAAATCAAAAACATGCTCTAAAGTCAAATATTTAATTTTGGATTAACTATCTTTTCTTCACCTTCAATCAATATGAACAACAGAATCAAATACACTAAAATAAGCACCAAATGTAATTTTGTCTTGTTTGTGTTTGGAAATTGTTTACAAATATGTATATATTTATGTATTTGCCCAATAGTTTTTCTTACCTGTTAAAATCATCCACATAGTCATCGTCTTCTCCAGTTCCTGATAAGTTTAAGAAAAGATATGTTATATCTAATACACGTCACAATTTACCTACCATTAAACACACATTTCCTTTAAAAAAATTAATTATATTGCATCATTTAAAAAGTCCCGAACTAGAAATAACATTTTTAGCATATATAATATGAAGACAAATGACAAATGAAATACCTAAGAAATAATAAACTGTTACAAGTGACTATAAAATGTGGTTAACACCTCATCTTTACTCCAGGTACTCTAAGGCAATTAACATGGGGCACGCTCACGATTAATAAGGTCCCTTGACTTAATGGTATATAGCAATAGCAAGTCATCATTAATCCCCTCTAAGTACTAGATGAACTACTGAGAGTTTTCAACATGCTAATTGTTTCGTTATAAAAGTTAAAAACACTCACGAAGTGTGAAGAGGCCACAGAGCACAGCAAAAAGGGCACCTTCAGTCAGACAGAGCAGGGCTCAACTGCCACTCCACAGCTCTGCCACCTGAGAATGTAAGGTGCCCTTTCTTGGCCATGTCCTCAGCTCTGATGTACAGCCAAAGCCACACCAATCAGAGTTAACACAAGGATTCAGGTACATGGTGTGCTTAACAGAGACCTTGGTCCACAGTAAGATCTTAATAAAAGGCAACTGAATGAAGGTGGGATGGTGAATGGTGAGGCAGTGTTACCAGTTTCTCAAAGTGCACCACGAGCCTTTGATAGAGTGGGCACCTTAAGATCAACTTAAGGCTATAAAGCACAAATCTGCAAATCAGCAGCCCTTCCCTCCCAGGACTTCTGAGGGCTAGATAAGGAAAAAGGGTTGTCAGCCTCAAAGCAGACTTGGAGGCACATGAGAGCCAACTGAAAATGTGAATGGATGGCCTATGAAAGACTCGGGAATTATGCACAGCCACATGCAGAAGATGTGGATCACAAAAAGAAGACCTGGCGTGACAGGTCTTCAAAGAGCCGTTCAAAGATCCTGTGGGCCTTGTCCTCGACCCTCCCTCAGATAAGGCTGGACTGTCTCTAAATCGGTTGGACTGCTGTGGGGATTCAAGCTCTGTCCAGACAGTTAGATAAGGTCAAATCTTATGATTAATTTATCAAGCAGATGAGTGATGACTAGGTCCCCTAGAGGTATAGCAATGACTAAGATGGTATCTCAGATCTCAAGGAGCAAACACTCTAGTGAAGAGAAGCAGTGGAACAAACCAAATACTGCTAGTGCAACTGGGAAGAACTCCAAGGATGCAACTGAGTGGAAACCTAGGTTGCAGAGGTACAAGTTACTGGGGACAGTGTGTTCCAAGAAGAGGAAACATGTGACAGCCCTGAGGTGGGGAAGTGTGCGGTGGTTTGAAAAACCATCAGTGCAGCTCAGAGCAGTGACGCACGTCTGTAATCCAGCTACTTGGGAGGCCAAGGCGGGAGGATCACTTGCACCCAGGAGTTTGAGACCAGCCTGGCATTGCAAGATCTACCCAAAAATTAAAAATTTATTTTATTTTTAAATTTTAAATTTTTAAATTTTTAAAATACCGTCTCAAAAAAAATTTAAAAACTATCAGTAAGGAAGCCACACAACCATAAAACAATGAATTTGGGGAACAGAATGGGTGGAGGGAGAAAAAAGGAGTCGCGATCAGAGGGGTTGGCAGAAGCCAGATCATGAGAGCTTGGCTGGTCGCAATAAGGATCTTAGCCTGGATACAAAGGGAAGCTCGTCTGGGGTGGGGTGGGGGAAGACAGGAGTGACAAAGTCCAGGGAAGCACTATCTCACTTCTCTTTTCCCGGAGATAATCTTACCACCGCAAGAAGAAATGTGCTTACAGGAGGCAACAATGAAAGTAAGGAAAGCAGAAGGCTGTCAGAAAGTCCAGGTCAAAGATAACAGAGGTAAAGGCTTGGGTCAAGGCAGGTGTCCCACAGATAAGACAGATGGGTAGATGATATGGGGTAGGGAGAATATCAGCAAACAAAGAAAACATGAATCCTTGTTACTGCTACACTCAAATCTTGCCCAGTAATGAACTGGAAATCCCTGACCATAAGCAGTCAGGAGGGACGTTTCCAGCTTCCTCTCCTCTCGAGAATCAAGAGCTCGTCTCCACTTAGCCTCAAAGGTTAAAGGGCTGCAAGTGCTTGACAGAAACTAGGCACTGTCAGGGCAAACTAGGCACTGTCAGGGCAAACTAGGCACTGTCAGGGCCGAGTAGGAGAGGTGGAAATCTGATTAAACAAACCGTGTATGTGGCTGGTTTGCAAGTGCTAAGTAAAACCAGCAGTGGCAGCTACTAAAATGTCAGCCTCCAATGACCCATCATGGTGTTCCTATGTATGAAGGCCAGTGAGGAGAGCAGAGGTGGACACTGAGCTGAGACACCGAGGACAGCTGTGGCTGCAATGTGGACTTAAAGGAAGCTAACTGGATTCCCCATCTGCCAGCATTTGTAGTCAATTCAAAACACAAGGTATTTACTGAATAATGTGCTATAACACATTAGATTCTGACTTCTTGGTTATGTATTGTTTAGTGTTAACAATAATTTAAGCCAGTGTCAAAATGATTAACAGAATACATATAGGTTGAGCATCCCAAATGCAAAAATTTGAAATCCAAACTTGAATGAAATCCAAAACTTTTCGAGTGCCAATGTGATGCTCAAAGAAACTGCTCATTGGAGCATTTCAGACTTTCAGATTTTCGGATTTGGGAGGCTCATCTGGTAAGAAAAATGCAAACATTTCAAAATCCAAAAAAAATCCAGATTCCGAAACACTTCTGGTCCCAAGCATTTGCGTTAAGGATACTCAACCTGTACTACATTACTTTAAGGGTCAGCAAATTTTGGCCCTCAGGCCAAGGATTCTTGTTTTCTTCCTTTTTTGACAGTCTCTCCTCCCCATCCCATACCCTCTGTCTTATCTGCCCTTACCCCAGTCATCTTTGGCCCGGACTTCCTGACAGCCTTCTGCTTTCCTTACTTTCATTCTTGCCTCTGGCTCATGACCTGCTTTTTTTCAGCCTATAAACTAAGAATGGCTTTTACATTTTTAAAGATTGTTTAAAAAAAAAAAAAAAGACCATATGAGACACAGTACATGCCATCAGCAAAGCCTAAAATATAGACTATTTGGCCCTTTACAGAAAAAGTTTAGTAACTCTTGCTTTAAATATGCAAAGTACCTATCTATAAACACTCCATTTGGGCACTTTTAATTAATATTTGTCTGCCAAACTAAAATAGATTGTGCTCTAAATCTTTATTTGTAGATTATTTCTTTGGAACTCAGAATTTAAGTTCCCATTGAAATGATTATTTCAGTGCTGTCTAAATAACACACAGGCAGTAAAACACAACGGTGAGGGCTCTGTGTGATGCAGCAGGACTCCAAAAGCAGCATGACCTTGGGCAAGTTACTTAACCTAGATTCTTCATCTGTAAAAATGGAGATAGTAATAAAACCTACCTCATAGGATATGAATTAAATAAAATAATTCCTTGGTACAGCACCAGGCACTTATCACTAACATCATTATTCTCCTAGGCTAGTCCACTAGCATCTCTCTACGTATTACTCAAAATATCTAGAGTACTGTATATTTAAAATGTGAAAAACCCAGACAGAACACAACATTGTTGCAAAACTAAATAAATCTTTATTTCTACTGAATCCTAATGCCTAGGTAAATGACAAACATCCAGCTAGTGAACTGGTAGTTCTCACCTGCGTAACTACCCCAATTCCAACCCGAGGTAAGCCTAAGTCCCGAGAGAAGTGAAGTGAAGGAGCACACCACCCTCCTGCCTGTACCCAGCAACTCTGAAGCCCCAGTAACCACGTTCCCTCCTAAGGATGAGAATTCTCAGCAGCTCCCCACTCAGAAACAGGCGGGAAAACCCTCACTTTGGTAAGAGAATAGAGCAGTCAAGAGAAAAAAGCTAAAAGGTTTGGCAACAGAGTGAAACACCACAAAAGTGAAAAAAAAAACAGAACACAAAGGGGACAGGGCAGCCATCACGGTGCAGAAGTCAGGAGTAAAGTCTCCAGTGGCAGTTAGCCATTGAGGTCGAGTGGAAAAGAACATCTAATGGCAACCACAACCACAGCTGACAGGAAAAGCACAAGGGAGGGAAAGGGGGCTGGCCCACCTAGCTGGCCAGCCAGCAACCAGGACGCACAAAGAGCAGAGGGCAGCACAACCAGCAACTCAGTTACCAGGACTCCAGGGCACTGTGTGAACAAGAATCCAGGCAGCTCAGGGAACATTTATTCTTCTGCAAATGGGGGAACAAAGTAACATAAAAAGAAAACTAACATTTACCAGGCACCTACCATGCCAGGCACTGTACTTTAATTTACGTATGAAGAGATATTTAAATCCTATTTATTCTTTAAAACAAGGCAGATGTTACTAGTTCCACTTAACAGATGAGGAAGTAGCAGTTTAGTTTATCTCCCTACGCTACCCATCAATCAGTGCCACATCTGAGATGTCACTTCCATCCAACTCCAAGCCCAAGTTCTTTGCACTATCCAAAATGTCTCTCCAGAAGAGGGAAGGGCGTTCTCGGAGCTGCCCCTCAGACAGGGCTGGGTTTTAAAAGCACACGGGACACAGCTGTCTTTCTCCCCAACCTGCCTGTGCAGCTGTCTTCCAATGCTTCCATGTGTGAGTGATTACAGACCAGGAAGCGATGCTATCACATCCACAGAGAGCATAGGAAGTGGCCATCGAGAAGCTGGCTGCACCGATTCCTTCAGGTCAGCAAGTTTGCCTGTACATAAATGAGTCTGCCTAAAGTATGCCTGTCACCCTGCTACAGTCTTGTACAGAACAGAACACTCAATGAGAACTGTGCTCTCAGCATATGGTGCAGGGCTCGGTAATGTTCACACCGACACTCTTACTTCCGTAGGAATGAACGTACTTACATGGCAGGCTTACCAACTTCTGCTCCATAGAACAGAACTGAACACATCTCACAATTTTTCTTTCAATAAGTCTGTTTCCCCATTAGACTGAATTCTCTGAGGCCTGGACCATGTACTACCAGCATCTAGCAAATGGCTCTGCCTCTGCACAAATTTTTCTATCTGAACTGAAATATCGTCCCTTCTCTCTTATACATCTACTTAACCATGAAGCTTCTGCACAGAAGTCACTTCTTATAAAAGGTCTTCCCTGAATGCCAAGACTGGACAAAGGTAACCTACTAGCCATTTCCATACAAATATATACTGACCCTTTTACACTCAAAATATCTGTAGATGCCCGTTTAATGTTCATATTCCTGACCAGAATTCAAACTCCATGAAGACAGAGGTTCATGAGGACATGATGGCTGTTGCTGTAGCCATCTCTCGTATAGGGTGTAATCCTGAACACGTAAAAGCCATTCAAACACCTGCTGAATGAGCAGCGGCAGGAAGGTGTTCAGCGTAGGCAGACTGAGTCACTTCTTTTACAACCTTACCCTAAAAATAATCACTTTAAAATGATCAACACAAAAACTGGAAATCTAGTTACCTAATCCAAGTGATCCAATTTTATCACTGATCAATTTCAGATCTTTCAAAACTGTATTTCCCCTTTTACCTGTGAACAGGAAAAAATACTAGCATTAGAGTGACTTTTAGAATACAACAGTCTCTAAACCACATCAATTTTTGTTGTTGTTCAATATGGGGGCTTCTTTATGATAGAGCATAACAACCTAAAACTAAGGAAAAAATAAACTGTGATTAATGAATGCTTAAACTATGCATTACAACCCTTTTTTTGAGACGGAGTCTCACTCTGTCACTCAAGCTGGAGTGCAATGGCGCAGCCTCGGCTCACTGCAACCTCCGCCTCCCAGGTTCAAGCGATTCTCCCGCCTCAGCCTCCTAAGTAGCTGGGACTACAGGCACGTGCTACCACACCCGACTAATTTTTGTATTTTTAGTAGAGACAGGGTTTCCCTATGTTAGATAGGCTGGTTTCAAACTCCTGACCTTGTGATCCACCCGCCTTGGCGTCCCAAAGTGCTAGGATTAAAGGCGTGAGCCACTGCGCCTGGCTACAACCCTTTTTAAACCATAAACAATACTACTTTATTGGAACACAACCACCAAAAAATATTTTTGCCTAATTATAAGACATCACTTTCCATAAACAGCCCTGTTAGGTATGAATTCATAGACTACTGTTAATTATTTTCATGAATCTTATTTTTCCTTTGAACTTCTAAATTTTTCTTCAATGCAACTGCTATTTCATTTACTAAAGTGACAATCCTCACTGGTTTTTGGTCCTTCGTTCTCAATGTCCTCTCTAAATGATCATTCTCTAATCAGTGTCAGAATGACACGTTCATGATGTCCTGGATTCCTTTCTTAAAGGTGGCAGTAACCACAGGAAAGAAGCAAATGGGAAGGGATATGAACCTTATAAATACATGGCTGGTTTAAGAGAAGCAACAGGTCGGCTCTCTTATGTGCCCTAGGAAGTCCCACAGTATATCAAGCAATACAAAAAGATTCGGAAGTACTGGACAATTATGCAAAACTCATACTGCAAATTCCTAGTGAATCTACTTTCGGAAACTTTCCAAAAGAGGTACACGAGCTCTGAAACACTATGCTAATTAAATACAACATTTACTATTATATGGTTTCCAAAGGACCTCTGCCCATCCTACCTGTTCAGGGCTATGCTGTTTAAATTCCTATCACTGTGTGGGGAGAGGTGGGAAAGTAACTGGTGCCAGAGCTAGACTATTCCACATGTAATCAGTGCTCTTTAGCTCTGCTGCATTTACGATGACATGTCAGGTCATTCTTGAAAATGATCTGCAGAATAATTTTTTATTTAACATTTTATGATACTTACTGTGGTATCACTAAACAAATTTTTTAAAATTAATTGAAAGCAAATCCGACTCAAGTCACTGTAAATGTCCAAAAAAGGAGAGATGATTTAAAAATTATATTTCTATAGATAATACAAATCAGCTAAAAAATCAACTAAAAAGTATTCCGATGGTATGTAGGTATAGGAAGGGGCAGAATACAAAACAACATATAAAATATGACCACATAAGAAGTAACAAAATATTAACAGGAAAGATTTCTGAGTGATAAAATTATAGGTTATTTTAGTGATTTTCCTGGGGAAAAAAAATCAACAATAATCATATAGTGCTTAATTAGAGAAAAAATATCCCAAGTATTCAAGCCCACATCTTTGGGCACTTACTCTCAGAGTCTTTTAAGGAAGGGGCCCCCGCCAGGGAGCTGAGTCCACTTTTTAAGGGGGGTGCATCCGAGAGCGAGGCCAGGCTTCCTGGTTGCTTCCTAGGTTCACTCCTCCTAGCAAGAAACAAGGACAGTTAATCGGTGCTCTTATGTTCTGCCACTAAACACTTTTATCCTGCCACTGAAACAAAAGCAACTTAAAGATACTTTATATGCACAGTGGCTGGAAATCAAGAATGTAGACTTTAAAAATTCAAAACCATAAAGTATACCAAGGGAGTGCAAACTACAGATCAACCACAATCAGCACAGCCAGGGTGTAAGAAATCAGCTCACCTCTCTTTAGAATTCTGTTTGATAATCTTATAAACTAAATTGACCTCTGCACTGTGATTTTTTCCAGAAGCCCTTTTCCATCACCCAGACATGCAGCCAAGGGACAATACAGGAGTTTACTAGCAAATAAGTGCCACCTCTCAGATTAAATACTGTTTACAGAAGCCACAAACAGCCATGCTGATGAACTCCCCTTAAAGTCATGACCACTAACCTCAAGGGTACCTTTAACACTGCCCAACACCCCCCGGGTTTCCACAGTCCCTTCTCGCCTTACTTTGTTATAGAAAGATTTCACACTTTCTCCGCTCTCTTCAAATCGCAACCTCCGTCCTCCATCCTCACGCAACTATGAACTACGGTGACAGCTTGCACAGGTGCCACCATCATATCCACCCCCTGCCTACAACGGGACCCACACGCTCTCCACTTTTCCAACAAACACAAGCCCCTGCATGGGATTCCATTGCTGTGCAGCCCTCCAGGAGTTCTCCTCTCACTCCCTTACATCATTAATTCTTCCATCTTTAAAGCTGAGCAGTTCTCGTCTGCATACATGCTGTTCTTTCTCCCACCTAAACACGCTTTTCAGCCCTAAATCCTACCCCTCCAGCCACCACCCTGTTCCTCTGCACACTTTTACAACTCATCAGAAAACTATCTGTCATCTACAATCCTTTCCTGTCTTGAATGTACTCTAATTCTCTCACCTGCCTCACACCCCCATTCCAACAAAACTGTGTCAAGGTCATCACTGACCTCCAGATGGCTAAATCCAATGGCATCATACAGCTACTCCTCCCTACCGCCACCTCCAAAGACACCACTCTCCTGGTTCCATCTCCTCCACTGCTTCCAGCTCCCTACTCTGGCCTCAAGGTGTGCAGGACCTGCTTCCTTGGTGATCCTCTGTAGTCTCCCACACCCACATTATCTACAAACTGAAGACTCCTAATTTACATCTCCAGCCTAGACCTCTCCCAATCCCAACTCACATACCCAATCGCCTACTTCGGATTTCCACTAGCAATCTTCTCTAACTTAGCACAGCGACAGGGGCCTCCAGGCAGTCATGCCACCTGTCTGTGCAATCCACTCTTCCTCTTGCCATTCTTCATCTAATGGGTTTCCAACCTTCTAGTTTTGCAGGCTAAAAACCATGATGCCACTCTGGATATTACTTTTTTCTCTAGCACTTACTGGCAAATCCTTTTCCATCTAACCTCAAAATACTTCTAAAACCCACCTGTTTCTCCCCACCACTTCTATCACTTCTCACCTGAATAATCATTAATGGCCTCCTACCTGGAAACTCCAAGTCCAACCTTCCTCAGCAACCCTGGGATCCTTCTGTAATGGACGCCGGATCAAGACCCTCAGGGCTTCCAGTCTCAAAGGAAAGCCATCCAGCCCCTCATCTCTGAGTCCACCTCATCTGATCCCCATCTTGCTCTCCCTGCTACGCCCCCACTCACCTCCCTGCTGTCTGCTGTTTCCTCTCCCCAGAGCTCCATCAACCCATGGCAATTCCCTCATCTCCTCTAGTTCTTTGCTTACTGGGCAGCTCCAAGTGAGGCCCCCTCCAATTTGGACAGCTGACATGCACCTGCCCTGACCACACACTTTGGCTTCCATCACTGCTCTGCTCTCATCACCCAACACACCGCAGCATAACCCTCATTGCCTGACTCCGTTGCCAGAGCGGGAGCTTCCTGAGGGCAGGAGTCTTCCTCTTCTATCATTGCTGTACCCCACCCTGGAACAGCCCTGGCAAGTGGCTGACAATCTACACTTACCTGTTAGAATAAATCATGTCTAGGTTTTTCTAAAACCTGGGGTTGTTTTACAACATCAAAGGCATTAACAATGCATAATCAGATTTATGGATCCAATAATTATAAACCATCCATAGTTCATTATTTTTTAACTACAAAATGAAAACATTTATTTTTAAACCACCAGTCTCATAGTTCAAAAACTATTTACTCACAAACCATAAGTTTTCTCTGGCTTGGGAATGGGATCATCAAAGAAAGAATCTCCTTCCATATCATCTTCATCTGGACAAAGGCCGGCTTTGTCTTTGCCATCTAAAGTTTTGTTGCTTAGAAAAGATCCAATCTTTGTTTCATGGGACAGTAAGTGAAGGCTGCTTTTGCTCTTGGGTTCTGACAGAGAGACACTTGTATCACTCTGATTGGCCTCATTGTTGGCTTTCTAGAAAGAAAGAGAAAAGGCCTCCTTGGTGAGATACAACTTTAAGATATTTTAAATAATAAAAGAAGTCGCATGAGCATAAGGAAACCTGTGTTTGTGTGTGTGCAACCTCTGTGTGTGTGGGGGGGGGGCGGCTCCCAGCAGTGTGAACTGCAGAGCAATGCCATGATTCATCACTCCATCCCCAGGATTCCTAACATGGCAAACTTTCAAAGGTGGAAAAATATTAGAGAAATATATTAATACCATTCCTTTCCTCTTTCCCTAAATGGAAATAGCTTTAGTATACCTATCCCATTTATAAACACTTTCCCATTGAGAAACAATTTCCCATCTCCTCTTCCATATGTCATTGCTTTATAAATTATCTTAAATTAATACATTTTTCAACTTGAAAACACGAGAGACCATTACTATTAAAGGAGAAAAGAAAGATTACATATGAATGAACCAAGCATTAAAGTAGTCATTTGTAAAAATAGCCATTTTCCATCCAGTGCTAAACACAACAGGCATCAAGGTGAAAGACACTGCCTTCAACCACTCAAACATAAGCATTTGCTAATTAAAATAATTATCTCAATTCTGACTTCCAGGGTAACTTCCTAACCTATACTTATTTTGATGTCCATGGACATATATATCTATGTGTGTGTACGTGTATATTTCTCTACGTATCTTAACACAACGTTATAAAAAAAATTCTGAATCATCCTTATCCATGCCCTTGGATATAGAGTGATGTTACCACTTTTCTTTTCTTATTTTCAGGGAGTCCTAACCTTCACGGCTGACTTTCACGCCATTCTTGGTCAGATTTCTTTCTGCCCTAAGACGGGTCTATGTTAACAATAATAATGAAAAAATAAATAATGCTAGTAATAATAAAAAGTAGTAATAATAAAAAGCAGCTAACATTTATGGTGAACATTCAAATGCTTCACCTTATCTCACTTAATCTTCAAAATGGCCCTATGATCTGGAGATAGCTTTATCTCTGTGGATATAAATAAGGAAACACAGAGATAGACGTTTATGTCACTTGTCAAAGTCTCCACTTAGTTAAGTGGTAAGGTCAATATCAAAGTCAAAGCCTGATTCCAGAGGTTAACTCAATATTTATGCTATTCGGCTAAATTATAATGAATTTGTGGGCTTTATGGGTTAAAAATGGCAATTTCCCAAAAATCAGCCTTGTGTACTAAAGAGAGCAGTATTGTGTAAAATACCTGGAGTACTAGAAAAAGCACTCAACTGAAACAAAGAATCTGGAATGTAGTCCAAAATTATTAACTGCATTTTTTTTTTTTTTTTTAAAGAAACAGGGTCTCACTATGTCACCCAGGCTGGTCTTAAAACTCCTGGGCTCAAGCAATCCTCCTGCCTCAGTCTCCCAAGTAGCTGAGTTTATGAGATTACAGGCACAAACTACACCCAGTCGTATAAATTTTTTTTTTTTTTTTTTTTTTTTTGAGACAGAGTCTCGCTCTGTCACTTATCATTGAAGAATGT